CAGACAATGATTGATTTTATCAAAAAGATTGAAATAGTTTGAAAAAGAATGTACGAAAAATTAAAAGTGATAATGATTCAGAGTTTAAAAATCAAACTCTTGACAATTTTCTTACAAACAAAGGTATTTCGCATAATTTCTCATCACCATATACTCCATAGCAAAATGGTGTAGTTGAAAGAAGAAATCGATCTCTATGCGAAGCAGCCAGAACCATGCTCACATATGCGAATCTACCTCAATATCTTTGGGTTGAAGCTGTATCCACAGCTTGTTTTACTCAGAATAGATCATTCATTCACAGAAGATTCAATGTTACTCCATATGAAATAATCAATAATCGGAAACCTAATGTAAAATTCTTTCATGTTTTTGGTTGCAGGTGTTTTATTATGAATCTCAAAGATAATTTGTCAAAGTTTCAAGCAAAAGCTGATGAAGGCATTTCTTAGGATATTCACAGAATTCAGTTGCATACAGAGTGCTTAATAAACGAACAAGAAAAATTGAAGAAACTTTCAATTTAACATTTGATGATTACTATCTTAAACAGATTGATAGTAAATTCGATCAGAAACCAATACTTGTGGATTCAAATACTCAAATTGATAATTCTGAAATTAATGATTTTGATTATGACTTAATTTTTGGAATTCCTGACAGGGCAATTGATGCAGAAGATAATGCTCTGATAATCAAACATCAGAATCTTCAAAACATACTGATGAATCAACAACAACTTCAACGATGATAACTTGTGAAAGCATACCAAATGCTCATATGGAGGAGGAACACACAAGTGTTCATGAAGATTTTATACCAACTTTTGAGGGGAGCATTCACAAAATCATCAAGAACATCAAGTTGAGGGGGGCATACACAAAATCAACAAGAATATCAAGTTGAGGGGGAGCATACACAAAATCAACAAGAATATCAAGTTGAGGGGGAGCATTCGCAAAATCAAAATGCACATAATTCTGAGGGGGAGTATCCAAATGTAGATCATGTTGAGAGAGGACTTCATGAAACAGAGACAAATAGTCATGATAACAATGCAGACTTTCATACATTTAATGATAATTTTTCTGTTGCAGGATCTGAAAATGAAGATATGCATGAAGATGCACTATTAGACTATGATCCAAATTATCCACCACTTGCGAAATGGACAAGAAATCATCCACAAGAATAGGTAATTGGCAATTTACAAGAAGGTGTGTTGACTAGAGCTCAAATTCGTGCGAAAAATGAGGTACTAAACACTAACCAAGAACTTTGTATGTTTAATGTCTTTATTTCGAAAATAGAGCCAAAAACAGTCAAGAATGCTATGGAACACTCAGATTGGGTTGTTGCTATGCAATCTGAATTGGCTGAATTTGAACGAAACAAGGTTTGGAGATTAGTTTCAAAACCTTCTAATGTTTCGATTGTTGGATTAAAATGGATTTTTGAAAACAAAACCGACAAAGATGGCAATATTATTCGAAATAAAGCAAGACTAGTGGTTAAAGGATATTCGCAACAAGAAGGCATTGATTATGAAGAAACATTCGCACCTGTTGCAAGACTTCAAGCAGTTCGCATATTCTTAGCTTATGCAGCTCACAAAGATTTTGATGTTTATCAAATGGATGTTAAATGTGCATTCTTAAATGGAAAACTCGAAGAAACATTGTATGTTGAACAACCACCAGGTTTTGTAAACACTGAACATCCTAATCATGTTTATATTTTAGATAAAGTTGTATATGGGTTAAAACAAGCACCAAGGGCCTGGTACGCAACACTTACAAATTTTTTGAAACAATCTACACTACTAGAAAAAAGGCCTTTTACGACGTGCAAAATACGACGCTCATTGATCTATGTTACGCAAGAGAGAGTGACATTAGAAAAATGTCATCTCTTCAAAAAATTTAAGTATATATGTCGCGTTTTATTGAGTGCCCTTAGAGTTAGTGTCTAATGTAAAAAACTTAAAAACACGGAGGGCACTTAATGTAAAATGTGCGCCGTCTCAAAATGTCGCATTATAATTTTAGTGAAAGGCGCGCATCTCTTCACAAAAATCGAGGTTACTAATAAAATATCTAACACTCACTATTCATCAGTCACTTCACTCTCTACGATTCTATCGACTCTAAGACCTGGACTCGCCTCCCCTTGCAGACAACGTCTCCTCCTCCGATCGTTAGGTTACTTCTGTGGCTGATTTCGCCTCGCTGACGACCGTGGGCTCAACTGACATCATTGGAGACTGCTCAAATTTACGTGCCCTAGGTCCGATTAAGGTGTTCCTGTTGAACCGATTTAGGCGAAGTGAACTTCTCGGTTGGCTAGAGAACGTTGTAACAGAAGAGAAAGAGCAGAAGAAAGTCGACACAAGGGGAAGAAGCGCCTGGTAGCCATGAATCTGAAGTAAGTTGAACACATTCAAGGGTTTCTCACCTACTGAAGCTTCTCAAGTCGAACACAAGGTAAAATCTCAAGCTTCTCAAGTTATATGTAATGTTTTTATCCCCTTCTTTCATCTTGCGAACATTTTCTCTGCTTTTTATCCCAAACTTTCACCTTGTCCTCAAGGTGAAGAAAGGATTGGCTAACCGTGTATATATAATGTTAGTTGCCTAAGAAAAGAGTCGAAAAATCCCTCAAAATACTTTTAATCAAACTCCCCTGTGAGATGTTTCTCTTCAGGTTCTTCGAACCCTGGTCTGGTAGAACGTAATTTTTTATGTTTTCTGATTGTACTTATGAAATTATGAATCGTGTGGTATCTTTCATTTCGATTGGGGGTATGTATGGACGATTTGTAATAGGGATTGAGATTATGAAATCATGGTTGAAGCATTCATTAAACCCTAAATGTAGATGTCTGAGTCGAGATTTATTTTTGAACTGTTGAGAAATTCTGCAAGGACACTTGATCTTCTCAAGAACATAGAAAAAAGTTCTAAGTTGTTTCACTTAATTAGTCAAAAAGCATATTATTCTGGAACCAAAAACTTGTTAGAGCATATTAAACATTGAAAGTGTATGTATTTATGAAATCAGCCATTGATTCATTTTGCATTTTGATCATCACACAACCTCTTTGATAGAAACCAAAATCCAATAACAGATAAATGAAACTCAAATATGAGATATATAGATCTAGGAAGCTATTGGTTACTAAATGGAAATAAGAACAAATCAAAAGGAAATCAAATGATTATCCTCCTGCCCTAATCAGAAAAGTTCTCTCAAGAGAAACTTCCTGCCCAAGCTAAAGCCGATACTCAAAGTTACAAAATACTAAATGATTCAATACTCTTAAGAATTAAAAATCTATAAAAAGCTTGCCTGTTTGTTTAAAGCATCCAAAGTTTCTTCATTGAGGTCATTACCAGCAGTGATTCCAGTCTTTCCAAACCTCGAACTCCAAATTCCATTCCAATTGTTTCAAAGAACTTTCTTTTCTCACATGAAAGATAAGCAAGATCACCAAAATCCAACCGAATTCCCCTTGCTTTATACCTATACAAATAAATACATCAATTAACATATTAATTATTATCATTAAAGTTTAAACCTTTTGTATCATAAAATAGAAAAAGACAATAATACCCTAGATCATTTAGTGCTAGAAGAACAACACAGAAGTTAGGAACACCACTCTTCATCACTTAGGAAAAAAAAAATTATTTGATAAGTGTTTGCTGACATGCAACCTACGTGGCATGTACTTGGCAAATTATTAAAAGGTTAAGGTCATATAATAACTCACGTATTTGTATTTTCTTACATATATTTTTTAGTTAAAATACTTCAGGCCTCAAGTATTTTATGCAAAAAAAAATAATCCCTGTCAATTTTCATCACATACAAAAAATTTCAGGATGAAAATGTAACACCCAACGCAACAAAGACCAGATTACCCTTTGCCTAATGCCTACCTTTTCTTATGACTACCTTCAGCATTTTGTTTTGTTTTGTTTCAAATAGGTGCATAATTTGCAAAAAAAGACAAACACAAAACTGTTGTCTAAAGAAAATTCTGATTTTATTGCAACAAATCTTCTGGCTACAAACAAACAAAACATTCATCTCATCTTGTTAAAAATAAAGTCGATTCTTTTCTGTACACCTGTATCAAACCACTGCCATCTGTAACTTGAAGCTTCTCATTTAACATTGTCTTGTATTCATCATCTCTATCTTCTAAACCACGCATTAGTTCAACCTGTTCAATACAAACACCACATCATTTGTTGGTAATCAACATAAATTTATGATGTTGTGTCTTGTCCTAATGGGGCCCACATCATTAGAGCATATTAAACATTGAAAGTGTATGTATTTATGCTTCTAACTATTTTTTCTTGTAGGACTATTGGCAAGAGGATTAAAAGTGCAATGATCTGGGTGGTAACTACACCAGTATGTGGCTTGGTGTTGTGCATCTTACACGGTTAGTATCTCCTCCACTTATTAATTCATTCCTACAAGAAACATTTTCACTTATGATCAAATGCAATTAGGAGTAGAACCTACTTTTAGTCATTTAGAAGGTTGATCTCCCTGGTTTCCCATGCAAGTAGGTATGATGGGCACTGCCAAAAAATTAGCTTACATGGCAAAAATTACTATTCTAGCTTTCATTTTGTATACTTATAATAGGATTGATGAATGAGATGTTTCTAGGCTTTGACATAATCTGACTGTGGTTAGTTTCATGGTCACACTAAAGCATAAACGGGCATGATTTCTGAGTTGACAGCATTGCGTGCTTTATGAAAACGTGATTTTTAGTTACTTTAGTGAAGTCTTTTCAAGAAACTTACAACATTCGAGTTTTAGAAAGCTCTTAGGCGATTTTAACAACTAAAAAGTCTTTTTAATTGGATTTATGAGTGATTGTGCATTGCAATATGCATATAGTTACAATGAGTTACAATTTTTTTGTTACTTGCTGCAGGCTCAAAGGGTGATAAAGCAACAGTTTCTGCTATAAATTACACTGATATTCCACATACTCAGGTAAGAAAAGGTATTTATTTTTAATCTATCTATTTTTTAGGGTACATAAAGGTATTTATTTTTAATCTATCTATTTTCTAGGGTACATAAGTTTTTTATTTTTCATTTTCTAATATAGATTCTATTTTATTATTTTGATTAAAAATTCATTTTTGTGAATATTCGTTTAAAATATCCAAGCCTTTTTAACTTAACATTAAAAATAATCAAAAGCCTAACATATATTGTACATACTCTACAAGCAATACATATAACATATAGCTCAACAGAATGAGATTAAAAAGAATGTCATCCAAAAAGCTTCTTGCTACTCTACAAGCAATACATATAACACCTGCACCTCTTCTTTTCTAACAGATCCATCATGTTCACCCTTTAACAGGATTCATACAAATCAATTCAATGATATTATAACAAAAACAATAATTAATCTATAACTAAAGTTATTACAGATAATAAAAACAACCTTGAGCAACAGAGTGTTTACCTTTCACAGAAACAGATAATAAAAACAACCTTTTCTAACAGATCTTTTATAGATCTTAGGTACTCACCCTTTCACAGGATTCATACAAATGAATTCAATAATCTTTAAATAATAATAAAATGATAATTAATCAACGTGTGATGAAAATTTTACTAACCTCAATCTGCCACATTAAATCAGGAATGGAAACAAGTAGAAACATCAACTCATTAACCAACAAAGACAGAAGAGAAAGAAAGAAAAAACAAACAACAAAGAACAGCCATACCTATAGGAAGTTCTTATGCAGTATTAATCACAATTAACATCAAACATAAATATTTATACATTTTTAGAATGTAACTGTCAACTGACAGTTAATACCTAATTATGGCAATTACTTTCTATCTAACTAACACAACTTTCACTAATTCCCATTCTTAAAAATAGGTGAAACCAAATATCAAATGCATGTATTTATATTTGTAAGATTGGGCTTGGAGCAATCTGTATTTATTAAAGAAAATATTACAGTTAGCTAATTACATATTGAAAAATAAAGCTAATTTTAAACAGATTGACCACCCAAGGGTAAAAAGGTCAAACACATAAATTATGAAGTAACGGGTTTGCAGGTGGTTTTGTGTTGGACACCTATTTAGCCCATTTTAACTTTCAAATTTCTACAAAAGATCATATTCAAAATTTTAAAAGTATTTCTAATTTTCAAATTTTTGTAGAAGTTCATAAAATTTTATACCAAACACATAAAAATATTCAAACAAGCTGAAAAAGTAACTGGATGCTGAAAAAGTAATTGATAACCTATACAGTTTTGGTCCCTGCTTCAGTTTTGTCACTGTACAGTTTTTGGCCCCTGTACAATTTTTTTGTCCCTGTATAGTTTTGGCCCTGTACAGTTTTGTTTTTGCATAGTTTTTTTCCCTAAACATGCGTAATCATTATTGCTTTATATGGTAAATAATTATGTAGGTTGGCAACAAATGTTTAATGGATAAATCATGGATATCCTCTAGTAGATTATCAAATGCATATGATGAAGGTGTGAATGCTTTTCTAGAGTTTGCACAAAGGGGGAGAATGTTGATGTATATTGTAAAAGTCGAATAGAGTGTTTTGTATAGTTTCGCATTTTATGTTATTTTACTAAGTCATTTTTATGCGAAGATAAAATGTATAGACTTAGTATACTTTTTGATGGTTCCCTATAAATAGGGACTTAGGCTAGAAGTTGTAAAATGAATGCTTGAACTCACTTCTGCTTAACTCTGTAATCAGACTTTATCAATATAAGATCTGATTAATATTTACTCTCTGTGTTCTTCATCTTAATTCATTCAAATCTATCTTTTCTGTTCTAAATTCTCGATAACAATTCTCAACAGGATGTGTGCGGACCCTTTAAACATGCCACAAGGGATGCTAATCGTTATTATTTGACTTTTACTGATGATTACAGTAGATATGGATATGTATACTTAATCAAGCATAAGTCAGAGACTTTCGAAAGGTTTAAAGAGTTTAAACAGGAAGTCGAGAATCAATTGTGCAGGAACATTAAGATGTTTCAATCCGATTGAGGTGGTGAGTATCTTAGTTTAGAGTTCCTCGACTATCTTAGGGAATGTGGGATTGTCTCACAATTGACACCTCCCAGGACACCGCAGTTGAATGGTGTAGCTGAGAGGCATAATCGAACCTTGTTGGACATGGTTCGTTCCATGATGAGTCGAGCTTCGCTACCAATCTCATTTTGGGGGTATGCCCTAGAGACTGCCACCCATATCCTTAATCTAGTACCTACAAAGAAAGTTGCCAAAACTCTTCATGATATGTGGACTGGTAAAGTACCCAAACTAGACCACATCAATATTTGGGGTTGCGAGGCTTTTGTGAGACACGATACTCATGATAAGCTCGAACCTCAAAGAGAGAGGTGTATTTTCATCGGCTACCCACAGCAATCCTTTGGTTACCCCTTCTACAGACCTAGTGAAAATGTGGTCTTTGTAGCAAGGAGGGCTATCTTGAGAGAGAGAGAGAGAGAGAGAGAGAGAGAGTTCATAAGCTAAGGAAACAGTGGGAGGCAAGTTGACCTTGAAGAAATTCAAGAGTCAAGTGGTGAAGGAACTTCAAACCCTAGCACTCAACTTGAGGAGGAAACTCCTGTTGAGCTAATTGACATGTTTGTACCTCTGAGACATTCCACAGGGATTAGCAATGCACCTGAGCATTACTATGGATTCCATATTACTGCAGAATGTGATACACTTATCAGTGATAAGACACTGATAGGTCTGGATGAACCTAACAGTTACGCGGAAGCCATGGTAGGCCCTGACTCAGCCAAATGGAAAGAGGCAATGGACAACGAGATACAATCCATGTTTGACAATCAAGTTTGGAACTTGGTTGAAAATGTACCAGGTCGTAAGACTGTAGGGTGCAAATGGATCTTCAAGAAAGAAGACCGACATGGATGGTAATGTACACACTTATAAGGCACGACTTGTTGCAAAGGCTTTCTCACAAACTCTGGGAGTTGATTATGATGAGACCTTTTCTGCAATGGCCAAGATTAAGTCTATTAGGGTTCTGTTAGCCATAGCTGCATTTCATGATTATGCAATATGGCAAATGGATGTCAAAACCGCTTTCGTTAATGGAAAGTTAGTTGGGGATGTTTACATGAGTCATCCAGAGGGTTTTGTCAATACAGAGTACCCTAATAGAGTGTGTAAGCCTGAGAAATCCATTTATGGATTAAAGCAAGCACCTTGCAAATGGAATCTTCGCTTTGATGAGAAAGTCAAAGAGTTTGGCTTTTCTAGGAGTAAAGATGAATCTTGTGTGTATGTCAAAGCTAGTGGGAGTATAGTTAGCTTTTTGGTATTGTATGTGGATGACATACTAATCATAGGAAATGACATTCCAAATTTGCAGGAAGTTAAGTCCTGGCTTGGGAAGTGTTTCTCTATGAAGGACCTAGGAGAAACTGCCTATACTCTAGGGATAAGGATCTCGAGAGACCGGAGTAAAAGACTAATTGGACTTAGTCAGAGTACCTAATTGGATAAGGTGCTGAAGAGATTTAGCATGCAGGACTCCAAGAAAGGAGAGTTACCCATCCAGAGTAACGCTAAATTGAGTAAGACACAAAGCCCTAGTATTGAGTCTGAGATAGCAGAAATGAGTTGAATACCTTATGTTTCGACTGTAGGATCGATCATGTATACTATGACGTGTACACGACTGGATGTAGCCTTTTCCTTGAGCATGGTTAGCAGGTATCAAGGGAACCCTGGCAAGCCACACTGGACTGCTGTAAAGAATATTTTCAAGTACCTACGGAGGACTAAGGACTGGGTCCTTACCCTTGGTGGGAGTGAATACTTGAGAGTTGTAGGGTATAGTGATGCTAGCTTCTAGACTGATAGGGATAATTTCCACTCTCAGTCAGACTGGGTCTTTACCTTAAACGGATGAGCAATTTATTGGAAGAGTTCCAAGCAAGAGACAGTGGTTGATTCAACTTGAGAATCAGAGTATATAGCAGCTAGCGAGGCAGAAAAGGAGGCTATATGGCTGAAGAACTTCATTGGAAACGTTGGAGCTATACCAGCTATTAAGAAGCCAATGGAAATTTTTTGTGATAGTGAAAGTGATATTGCCTTAGCCAAGGAACCAAGGGATCATGGGAGATCCAA